TTTTCTGCTCCGTGCATATCTGGGGTTGTTTTCAGAATGGGTGTGCAATGGGTTTCTGAATGGATTGTACAACAGTAATTAAAAGGGCGGGTGGGGGGTGGTTGCATGCATGCTGGGAAACAGGGGTTGTTGGCAATGCATGCTGGCTGCATTTGAGAACGACCCAGGGAATGACTGCTCCCCCAGCCGTTTGACAGTGACCAAACAGCCGTTAGCCCAACGTTTGGGTCAAAACGGCTTGCCAATGGAGCGGCAACGCAGGTTGCAATGGCAAAATTATTTGCTGGGCAAGGGTTAATAGAGGCAAAATTTATTTGACTTGTAGTATGATCTGAATCAGTTTTCATATAGTTCAGTGTAATATGGACAAACGCATTGGGATTTTGAAGACAAATTTAGCAGTTTTTATTCTGCCTGGTTTGTGAAATTGAAATATTATTAGAATTTTAGCATTTACTCAAGTGTTTAACCCTTGGGTGGCAAAGTTGGACTTTTTCTGCCAAATGTTGTGCCTGCACAAACAGCTTTAAAAAATATGGGACATTGCATTCAGGGAAACTTCAGGAAAAATCCTAGCAGTTTTTTAAAAAAGCAAAGAAAAGTTTTAATCAAATATTTGAAAAAATCCATCCCCAAGGCTGGGCTTTTTTATTTATCCCAAGGCTGGATTAGTTTTGTTATTGAGAGGCTCTCACTCCTTTCAATTTTAGTTTCACAAAAAGGGTTACATTTGCAGAAAAAGTCCAACTTTGGGAAATCTGAATACAGTACAACAATTTTCTCAGACAAAGTCCAACTTTGCCTTAGCCCACCTGAATTGCTTTCACGACCTTCAATAAAAATGAAACACAGGCCCACCCAAGAAAACCAAACTTATCTCCGCAATGGGAAAGAACCCTTTGCCACAGAAGGGTTATGATCATATGATTCTTGATTAAATTCAAATTAATGGCATTCATCGAATGCAGACAAATTTGTCATTGCTTCTTGCTTGGTCAAATTTGTATGAATCAGGAAAACAAAGCCTGAATTGGAAAAATTTGCGTGTTAACATTTGAAATTATGATGTGAAGCAAGGAAAATAATCATCAGATATAATGCAAATGAAGAATGCAAATCTGGGATAAGTTGAACATTTGAACAATTGTTAAATACGGTACTCTTCAGACCAATAACTTTCCACAAGAATAAATCAAACATCAATGCATAATCATCAAGGTCTTTATCCAATTTATGACCTATAAATAATGTAAAATTTTTTGTGGTTCCAACTATGTTTGATTGGGTTCCTGAAAAATTTAAACTGTCATGAACAAATTTCTAAAATAAATTCACAATATATGTGGTGCCCTGCAATTCCACCCTAATCCATTGCTGGATCTACTAAAGGGTTGAGTTGTGAAGCCGTCAAATTGTAAAGCAATGTCAAATGCAATGTTTTCTACATCATATTTGACATTTTTTGCACCTCTCTGTGGGTTGCATTGCTGGGCCAAGGTCAAATTGCAAGTCAACCTCCCTGCAAATTCAACCGTTGAATTGTCAAATGGAGAAATTGTGGGCAGTGGTTGAATTGCAAAGTACCACCTGTATTGGATACCACTCCTGCTGATCGGTAATTCATTCTGCTGAATGACTATATTTACACCGTCTTTAGATTTATAGACCTCAGTTACCAGTCTTCAATCCCAAAAATTATTGTTGTTGATTTCTCTCAGTTTAAATACATTGCATCAAAGCATGTCTCAAATCAATTTGTATACCTGAACTACCTTTTCTCCATAAAGACTAATAAAGAAATGCAATTGTGCCAGTTAAAAACATCACAAAAAATTCAGCAGCACGCTATGATGTACTAATTTATCCTTAAAATTTGAAATATGAATAAAAATCTTGGATCAGGTGACTCACATTTTGTTGCAATTGCAGAGTGTCGTCCTCTGTCAATGCGAGTCCAGAAGTAAAAGCATTACAAAATAAAATAGCAGCCAGGTACCGAATCTTTGTCATTTTTTAAAAATCGAAATGCATTCACAACAAGGATGAGTTTGTCTTGACTAATTCCGACTGAGCCTCGCTATCCATCAGGATAATGGACATATCTTCAAGCACCTTTCATATTTATGTCGATTCATCGTTTATATAGTTCAGTTCGTGAAATCGTTTCTCACCTTTGGAATAGTTTCGTGCTCGTGTTTCTTGAACAAGAATTAACCGTGTTGTCCCACAGAAAGACGCAATTTGTCACGAAGCGTTTGCATATATTCATCGCCAAGATTCGTATTTTCCGGGGCAAGACATGATCAATTCCTTATTTCGTGTTTTCACTTTATCCATTCGATTGTGACCCGGAAATTACATGTTTTACCAGGTAGACATGATCATTTGAAGCAATGATCATTCCTCCATGAATGGAGAACTGATCTTTAAAAACATATTGGATTGAGTTTTTAAATTCCTGACGTTTTCGTCGCTTTTCTCATATTTAGCGAAGTTGAAAGGGTTTCCGTTTTGCGGCGAGGAAAAAATTAGGCAACGCAGTAAAAATACTGTACTTAAACTCGAAGAAATTGCATATATAATAACAACTCAAATTACGTCATTGAGTATTTATAGTGTACTCTAGTATTAGAAACATTAATTTAAAATTTGATTCTGTACTTGGGAACAGAAAAATGTACTGATGAGACTGCCAAAATGCATTACAAATTTACATTAGGCAAAAAAAAATTAGCGGAGAAAGCTTAAAAATTAGCTTTGAGTGAACTAATGAACGCATATTATTGGCAAGAATAAAATTTGATTTTTAAATTCCGTACACACCTAAATAACTTACTTGAAAATATTTTATTTTGACAGAAAAACTTCAAATATTTAACCAGACACTATTATCAAAGAACCATCAACCAAAAGAGTGTCGAAAATTTCATCGTGAATAAATGTTGAAATCTAATCTTAATTTTCTTTCATACTGTGCAGAACGTGGACAGTGGAATTATGTCATTCAGTATTTAGTGTGTTCTGTCTACTAAACAAGGGAATTGACTTTCATTAAAATTGATTCCGTACTTGGACAGAAAAATCCCTGTAACCGTTCTGACAAATTTACATTAGGCAAAAAAAAATTGAGCGGATTTTTGATAACTAATGAACGCATATTTGCAAGAATAAAACTTCAATATCTATATTCCGTATACGCCTAAAAAAATATCGGAATTATATTATGCTGACAAGAACATCTTTAAACATTTGTCCAAACACTAAACGGTAAATCGGTCTGAAATTTGCACCATTACAAGGCACATTTTATGAAAAGAATTACGAGAATAAGCAAAGAACCATCAACCTAACGAGTGTCTAAAATGTTCTCGTGAATAAATGTTCACATATAATAAAATTGGGCAGAATGTGGACGACATCCAGTAAAATATAAAAATCCGTCGAATGAATTAAAGAAAATCATCGTTGTCGAAGAATACTTGCTTTTTCATTTTCAAGTCGTAATTATTCAAATACACCCGAAGCAGATATCATTCAAGTATAAAAATTATAAAAATTGTCGACACGGCCGAGATCCGAGGATAAATCCATTCATTCCTTTCTACCTGCAGAAATGAAGCAACAATTAAAATTCGAGCCAACCGCGTTGAAAATGTTTTAAAAAACCAGATTTCATTCCAATAGAGAAAAAAATCGAACATTCTTCTGGCCGAATATCCCGAAAAATATTGTCATAAGACAAAGGAAATTGAAAAGAACAAACCTTGAATACCCGTTGCTCGGTCGTTGCTGGTTGTAACCGGGCGTGCTGTACAAATAACGTGCAGTAGTCGTGGAGTAGCGCGGGTAAGTTGTCGAGTAAGTCTGGTAAGTGGTCGTGTAAGGAGTGGTTGAGTAAGTATTAGAAGGCCGATGCTGGTATCCGTAACTGCTTTGTCGCTTGCGCCTCACGTCATCGTTATTCACTCCGTATCCAACAGCCGACTTATTGGCGACATCACGACGTCACGACATCACGACATCAAAACTTGAAAAACGAAAAATGAGAATAGAAAAAAATCATCATCGAATAAATGTTGATCGCAAAAAGATGAAATAAATCCCGTTCAGCAGGGTAGAGGAGAAAAATGCTACGATGACGAGCAGACGGCATACCTCGCAAAATTCCAAGTCGTATTAGTCGAATTAAAAGAGATTAATTCAAGTATACTGTATTCACGAACATTTACTGGTACAGTAGTAAATGCTCGGCAACTCTTGTGGCATATTTTTAAAAAATACATTGGAGCTGTTATTATTCGTACAACAGCTGAATTTAAACTTTTCAATTTATCAATATCATATATACCACGAATTTATGGCGAATCAGGAAGTTTTTGGAAATGCCTAAAATGAGGATCCAAATTTACGTAGGCTATACAGTACTCATCACCAAGAACGACGAATTATTCACCTCAAAATTGTGTTCAAAATTAAGAAAAAAAAATTTCAAGAAAAATCATATGGCAAATGTCGCACATCCTACGGGTTAAAAAAAAAAAATGCTGTTCAACTGCGTAGATGTTTAATGATAATGAAGAAACACGAGGCTTTCGGTAAACAACATACACCACGGTTTATAAAAATTTTTGAAGTTACACTCGAAAGTTACAGGATTAGGTCGACCTGAAATTCGAGTGAATGCATACGAGGGTTGGTTCGTAAAATTGATGTTAAAAAAAGTCAAATGCCGTCATTGGAGGCGGATGAAATTTTTATTTTGCTCATCAACCATTGATTGGTTTATGAATGTTTCATCCACTATTTAGCTACAGGTGGAAACAAATAAAAAGGAAGACTTAAGCAGTCAATGTTCTCCACTAAAGTGAAGTTTAATTGATCAAGTTGAGCTGCACATTTGCTTGCTTTACAGATCAACATTTATCCATTAAACTTCATCAACATCATCTTTTGCGTTTTACACCAGTGTAAGGCACTTGTAAGGCACTAATTAATAATACAAAGCTAAATTTGGAAATACTGTACCTGAAGTCAAAATCGTTATCAAGATATGATATTTATACGCGAAACAGGAAATAATGCTTGCGATGATGAGCCAATTCACGCAGATCAAATGTATACCCTTGTCCACAGCAAGAAATAAATAATTTCACCTTTCTTTTAGAAAAAAGAATCAATTTAGAATTATTGATTCAGAAAGCCGCTCATCGCGATATACATATATATAAATAATTTGTGAAGGTAATGTAATGAACTAACCACGGAAGATGTACTTTTCTCTTGCGCCAAATTCCCGCTTCCGGCGATTTGCATCGAGACCGATCTCTTGGGAACCAGTATCGTCAACAGGGTCGGATTCCCCATCTTCGTTAGTGTACGAGGGTTCCGAAAAATCTTCTGACCCAGGGTCATCCTCTCCCGGAGCATGACCATCAGTGACGAACCCCGGTGGACTCGAAACTTCGTCGTACGAGTCCTACAATATATTAGAGATATTAATAATAGACATCAGGTCTCATCAGAAACCATTTGATGAGATTCACTCATTTGAAGGAATAGATGAGAAAAAAAACATCAACCACATCCTGACAAATCACGTGGTAAAAGGGAGTATTATGAGGGTTTAAATAAATAACGGTCCCAGAAACAACAATAATTCACAGGACCTCGATAATAATCACAATTCAAAAACGGTACCAAGTTGAGTCAATCTCCGATTATCCACACGAAATCACATGATGCATCTAAAAAAAATAATTGAATATTTTGTCAAAACTGAGCGCTAAGGTTTTCAGGATCTGCCGTTTACTTCATAAAATTCGGCAAATTAAATCGTGTCCATGAAATACTGCATACAACTCATAATTCCATACCCTGTCAGAGATTCCAGCTTTGAATTCAGTTCGTCACAATATACTAATGTAATACTCGAGAACCTCAATAAAGATTCATTAAATCAGATTGTTAACACATAAGTCGAAAGCAAATCATATTCTACCTATTTGCCGAAGAACTTACAACTGGCACGAGAAAATCACGGAGAAATAAAGCGATCGGAAACTTCTAAATCAAGGGAGTTCGTTAAACGAAAAATCATTCACCGACCGCGGTGAATATAAAACAAAAATAATCCCGAAGAATGAATTGAAAAGTACACTCACATCACAGACGACGAAGGTGACCGACATTACGGCTACAAATACGAATGCAACCAACGAGTTTTGAACGAAGGATTTCATGATGAAACGTCAAAACACCTCGAACAATTCAAGAGAATAAAACTTCGTTAAAAAGATTGCTTCAGTGAAATCCTCAAGTCCAGCAGACGAATGAATATCGCTTCGTCTACAATCACGCATTTTATACCCAGCCTGAAAGCAAAAAATAATAAAGCATGCTGTTAATATAGGGAAAACCCCACGAGGAGGGAAATGAATGAATGAAAGCGGGTTTCGCATTCCGGAATTATCGAGAAAACGTGAAAAAGGTTGACCTTCGGAAAACTGCCCGAGATGATGCTGGAGGAATGTTCGCCGGTTTCAGGACGAATTCGCGAATGTATCGATCATCATCATCAATGAGCGAACTTAACTATATGATGCGAAATTATATTAATTGTACGAGGTGATTTTTTAGGAAATCTGCATTGCGAAATTCCGAGCGTTCAAACAAACTATTGTAGCTGCTTTTCTCAATGAAGAATTCGTACATTTTGACTATACAGGAATATACAGTAGTATAAGAAAATGAATGTGATGGAAACGATTTCCGACGATTTTCGTCACGTGTCACTTAGTTAAAAACAAAGAATCTCCAGTCGGTGGGGTGATAACAATAACAACGCAATATATCACATTATATTTACAGCAGATCTTGCTTATAAATATTTGTTCAGAGTTACACACCGAAAACCTATTTTTCAATCTTCCAACTGTTAAAATCTTCCAGATGTAAAAATTTGGAGTAGTTCCATGTAAAGAAAGTCTTTTGGCGCTATTGGGATTCTTTCAATGAGTATATCAATGAAATTTGATTAAATCAAGGTTCAGATTAAGTCCACACATGCTAGATGAATCTTTCCTCAATCATACTTATTTATACATACAGTGAGAAACAAAGATTTGGTATATCAAAAGTTGAGTCAAAATGTCCCTAAGTTGAGTCTCATTTTGCCTCAGACTTAGATTACCTGTACTTACTCAAGTACCACGCGCCCTTGAGTAAGGCGCGCACAGGGGTTTTTCAGTTGAAAATTTTGAAAAAATCTCATCCCCGAGTAAGACGCGCACCCCAATTTTTAGTGAATCTAAAACCATAAAATTTAAAAAATAAAAACAAAAAAT